CAGGGTCGCTATAGGTTGGAATGGACTTGACGGCATTTAACAACAAACTACAATCTACATGACCAGCCCCAGTTCTGCTGTGTGCTAGCTGCAAATCCTTACTTTTGATGGCCTGCTTGTCAATTCCTTCTAGTGGTTGAAGATCAATGACCACAGCCTTCGATATGGGTTACTCCTCAAAATAAAGAAAACAAAAATCCTCACCACTGGACCAATAAACAACATCCATATAAATGGAGGAAAGATTGAAGTTGTCAAAGACTTCCTTTTGCTTGGATCAATCATTAACACTCAGGGAAGCATCAGACAAGAAATCAAACAACGAATTGCCTTCAACAAATCTGCTGCCCAAGACCTCTTTAAAGTGTTCAAGATGTCATTTTGAGGACAAGGTGTGCCTGACCCAAACGATGGTATTTTCAATGCCCTCATATGCATGTGAAACTTGGGACACTGAATAAGGAAGACTGTAGGAAAATTGATGCATTTGAATTATGATGTTGAAAGAGAATATTAAAAGTTCCATTCACTGCCCCAAAAATAAACCAATCTGTGTTGGAAGAAGTCCAGCCAGAATGCCCCTTGGCGTCCAGGATAGCCAGACTTGGTCTCTCATATTTTAGACATATTATCAGGAGGGACCAGACCCTGGAGAAGGACATCATGGTTGGTAAAGTGGAGGGTCAGAGAAAAAGAGGAAGGACCGCCCCCCACACACACACCCAACGAGATGGATTGACACAGTTACAGCAGAAATGGACTCAAGCAGTGACAATTGAGTGTCGGGCAGTGTCTCATTCTGTTGTTCACAGAATTGTTATGATGCAACTTGATGCACCTAACAACGACAACTTGTCAGTTCTTTCTAGCTGTCATCTTTATGCTGCCATTTAAGTCAGCTCCAACTTACGGTGAGCATGTTCATGGTGCATCAGAGTAGAACTGTGCTCCGGAGGGTTTTCAATGGCTGATTATTCAAAACTAGATTTTCAAGTCTTTCTTTCAAAGCATTTCTGCATGAACTTGAACCTTCAGCCTTGTGGTTAGCAGCAAGCTCCTAAACTGTTTGCACTCACTACCCGTGGACACTATCTGCCACACACCATCTTCTAATACGCACATGTGACCCAATGTGAATTCATTTTCTCTCCTTAAATCTACTTCTCCGTTTGGCTTCTCAAGTCCAACTACTAAACCCACTGCCATCAGACTGACTCTGACTCAGTGGGACTCTTGAGGGCAGGATAGATTTGCCCTCGAAGATTCCAAGGTTATCAATATTTATGGAAGCAGGCTGCCATGCCACATCTTTCTCCTGAAGAACAGCTGGTGGATTTGAACCACTCACCTTTCCGTTATTAGCCGGGTACTTAGCCACTGTGCCATGAGGCCTACTCAGTTTTTCTGGTAAGGGACCTTGAAATCATGCTTTATGCAATCAATTGTCAAATCATAATAGATTTGCCTTACTGGTTGTTCATTCAATGCATACTTGCTGTACACCTGGTGTGGCACTGAGAGTTAATGCGCTGGGCTACAATGTTGATTTGAACTGCAAAGTCAGTGATTCAAGCTCACCATCTGCTCTTTGGAAACCCTATGCACTTAACAGCCTACACCTACTATAAGGAGCTCTAGTAGCTTTGGTAGCATAGTGGTTACAAATCGGGCTGCGAACCGTAAGATCAGCAGTTCGAAACTACCAGCGGTTCCGCGGGAGAAAGATGAGGTGTTTTGCTCCCGTAAAGATTAACAGCCTCAGAAACCCTGTACAAGGTCGCTATGAGTTGGAACCGACTCCACGGCACATAACAACAACAACAACAAAGTAGTATTGTAGTTACTAGTTGTGGTGGTGATTATATGCCGTGGAGTCGGTTCCGACTCATAGTGACCCTGTACAACCTTTCCAAGGCTGTAAATCTTTATGAGAGCAGAAAGTAGGGCTGCTAATCTCAAGGTCAGCAGTTTGAGAGTACCAGCGGTTCTGCAGGAGAAAGATGAGGCTTTCTGCTCCTATAAAGATTTACAGCGGAAGAATCCCTATACAAGGTCGCTCTGAGTCAGAACCACATCACATCACCACCACCACCATACACATATTACATTTTAGGCGTGATGTAAGAAATTGGTCTTGGAGCCTTCAACAAGAACACAAGGTGCCTGCCCTTTTAGAGCTTTCATTCTGGTAGGGCAGTGGACACTCAGTTACACACACATACACTATAGCAAACAAATTCATTTTCAAGAACTGTGATAGTTAGGAAGGGAAGTAACAGATTGTGATCTCCTTACATGCGAAGTAACAAAGTAAAGTGATTGGATTTTAAGAATTTAGGAAGCCAGCGAGGTGTCATGCCATTTGAGTTGTGTATTAAAAACATCCCTCTAGCTTCTCTGTAGGGAAGAGGGTGGGAGAGGAATCAGAACAGCTCTGAGGCTGGTTCAGTATCCCAGGTTCAGACAGGATGACCCAGACAGGCCATGGTCTCTGAGGCAGTACGGAGTGAGAGAGGTACCATTTCCTCATTTCCATCCATAACTCACTGAATTCAATTCCAGGCCTTCATGGCGTCCCATTTTGACCTTCACAAAAATCCTCCTGGTACATGTTTAGGTTTATCTGCTCTTCATATGTCATCATCCATAATGCCTGTCACATAAATGGGGCCACTCTTCTGCTCAGAGATCTACACTACTCCCGCTGACCTCCCCCCCATACCTTATTCTCCAGCACAGTTTCCCAAATGGCTGAAGGATGTTGCATAATTACCCAGAAGCCATTTCAAATACTTCTGACTCCAACTCACCAGGCAGATGGGGCCATACTCTCTTGGCACCACGAATGTGTATTTGTGATACATCTTCCAAATGATTTAAATAATGCACTCTTACTGTCCCAGTCATCCCCAGGAACACTGGCCTATAGGATAGAATCCAGCTAAGGAAAACATCTCTTCCAAACTGTTCTAACTGGTCTTCTCCCCACTACTCACCATCTCCTGTGAAATCTTTGAATGAATTTTGTTCCCCAAAGCTGGAGGCGAGGATGTATCCCACTGCATTATCTAGGGAGCAGGTAGACATACAGTAAAATGGGTGATTACAAAGCAATGGGATATGCATATTTTGGGACACCATTTGGAGGATGGAAAGATGTCAAAAAGGAACGCGATTCTTTCTGGATCTTCCCTCAGATGACTAGCACAGGGTGAACAGAATATGATTTTGATGAATGAATGCATGCATGTAAACAAGACTCAGTACTCAAGGACAAGAAAAATGGAGCAGTGCTCTCCCTTCTTTTTAACTGAAGTGATATCCTTAGTCATTGTTTTCTACAGAAATAAGAAAGGACCTCTTAAACTAAGATTGCTTTGAAGGCACTATGTTCCAAATGAAAAAGGACTCCACTAGTAGGGAAAGATATTTTATTTTCAAGCTTCTAAGAGGGTTCTACAAACAATAGAGGCTTCAAGTATAAAAGCAAAGATAAAAGGAAAAAAAAAGAGAGAAAGAAAAACAAGTATTTTTAACTACTGAAAAGTAGACAGCCTTTTTCTTTCTTTTTTTTTTTTTTAGACTTAAACATAAAAATGTGAAAATATACTTGTCAAATCAAATCCAAATACATTGCTACAATAAAGCAGGACCACCCATGGAGATGGGTTATGTACAGCTGTGTACTTTTTTAAGTGCTACTCATAGTCCTTTCAAGTTCTTTCTTCCTTTCAAATTCAATTGGAGAGCTGTGCAAATCTAGCAAAATATTCTTTGGATTACAAAAAAGCATATATATAAAAATGAACAAAACTGGCAATTATGGAAGTATCGAGAATATGCAATCCTTCACTGCAATGGAAAGACCGCGAAGTGACATTGTACACAGAGTCTGTTCCGTTGACATGTCAGCTCAATCGGATTTAAATTCAAAGTAAAATGGAAGCCAGCACTTGACAGAGACATTTCTCTTTGAATTCATTTTGACTGAGTCATAAAAATAGTATATAGCAGGCAATCAAGTGATGCTTGAAACAAACCTTCTCAATAAAGTAAGAATAAAAGATAATCTAAAAATCATCCGTAATCAACGCGACAAAGAGTGCCCTGTGTTTAAGAGAGAAAGGGAAAGAGCGCGCAGCGGGACTTTGTGTGGTCTTTCCCCCAGTATTGCTATGTTTTGACCTTTGACCCCAAGGGACAGGTGAAATAGCCATCATAGATACCCCAACCCCCAGGAAGCTAGATGGAATTGCATAAGACTGAGGCGAGCTCAAGGGTCAAGTGATACTGACCCTCAACCCCCAACGTGGTCCCTGCCCTGGTGCTGACCGAATGGCCCAAAGTATCCTTTAAAATAAAGATTTTGAAATGAAGCTCTCTTTTTTTTTTTATATTAAAACTTAAAAGTCAAATTCATTCAAGAGGAGTTAAAATTACAGGAGGAAAAATAAATGAGCAGTTTTGATGGTTTGCGTCATTATGATAGTCTGGCAAGGTCAATATGAGAAACACAGAAATGCCTAATTACATGGGGTCAGTCCATATTTATAACTTCTGCTCTTCACCCACCTTCAAATACTCGGGGTGGGGCATGGCAGTTATATTGTGAGCATGAAAGTTCGGATCACTTCATTCCGTCATGGATCGGACTCTCACCATCATAACGTTACAAAATAAATGCATATTATATAATAAATAGTGCCAAGGGATAGATTGACCTAGATCTTTAACTAACATCCTTCTGTGTGTAAAAGGAAGCCACGAGGTTAATACCAACAATATACAAAAAAGCTTTACACGATGTTACAAAAATTTGTCTGGAAAAAAAAAAAAACCCATTGGTAAAACATATTTGATTTAAATAAATAATAAAACAATGGACAAACTACAAACATATCATAAATAGGGTTATCCAAAGATCACAATTAAATTAGAAATAAAAACGGGCCATTAGAAATACTAAGTAATTTTTTTCCATGTTAAGAATCAAACAAGAATTAAAAAAGAATCTTTTCTTTTATTTCAAAGTTCGCTTCTTATATTGAAGCTCATATTAAAGCAACAGTACAATGTTCATAAAATATAAGTGTGATGCCGTAACATTTCTTACCTGTGAGAATACTGATATTTGTATGTATACTAAAATAAGAACTTTAAAATTGTACAAATAGATACATTAAAAATGACATAGAAATAGGGTGCCTCTCACAGAAACAAGACAGTTATATCTGGCACGTATTAGTTTAAGATCAAAGTAGAAGCAAAAAGATTCACAAGAATCAGCAGTAACAAGATGGATGCTCAAGAGACATAATTGTACATTGGATTGTACGTACATTGTATGGGTTTAAGCTGGCTGGATAGTATATATTTCAAGTTTAAAAATGCACTACGTATAGAGTGTCCATAGTTTAAGGCGAAATTACAGCTTAGAACTGTTGTCCTTTCTAATTTTGTGGAAGCTTCTTTGACAAATTAAAAAAAAAAAAAAAAGAAGAAAGAAAGACTTAGATGTTCATAACACATAAAAGATTTCCCCTTCATTGTAAGTTCAGCTTCAGACTTCTCCTTCACTTAAATATTTTGTATGCCAAGTGGTTTTTCTCTAGTGGAGTTGATAAAGAACTTCAATGTTTGCCTTTTTTTTCGAGAAAAGATGCTTCACAGTATTGACCACTTTGATGTCCTTGCAGTTGTATTAAACGTATCCTCTCTGTAAAACATTGCTTGTTTTAAATGAGCCTTTGCAGGATTTAAAAAAATACCTGTTTACATATCTTCTAGATTCTTCAGAACGCCACAGTTCTTAAGGCCAAATTTGTGTTGTTATTGTTAAGAATCATCATCAAAAGTGTCTTTGGAACCATACAAGTCTGCTAGTTTCTTAAAACGAGGTCCCCAGTTCTGTAGATAGTCATAGTTCAAGTCTGAATCTGTGGTGGCAGACTCTAAGGAGCTCAGGGACCCGGCCACCGAGCCCCTTCCTTCATACCCATAGATTTGGATGGAATCATAAGGAGGGGCCGTAGGGTCGTTATCTGCTTCCTGTATTCTCGTGTGGATGAAGTCGTCCACGTCCACACTGTTGGGGGCTGGCCGGAGCCCAGGTCTGGGCATGTACTGATACTCAGGTTTGATGTCTTTGCGAGGAATAAATCCATTGATACCGTCGGGATTCTGAAGGGTGGCAATGTCAAAGGCCTCTGTGTCTTCCTCCCCACCCCCTTCGTCATCATAGGTAATGATGTTCTCACGGACATCTTCTTCCTCAAAGACAATAAGTGGTTCTTTCTTTTGCCTTCTCAGGGTCACAAACAAAACAACGATGACTACAGAGGAAAGAAAACAAGAAAGTTAAGCATGGGTCAAGCCCAGTATCACTGGGTTCTTTCTCCAAGGCACTGCTTGAAATGCATCATGGGGTACAAATGCCTCAGAAAGGGAACCAGTGTATAAAAACAGAGCGTGTCCTGGAAATCCCAAAGGTCTGTACAACAGTCCTCCATCTGCCCCTTCCTACAAAATGTGGCCACAAACACATTCCATCCCACAATCAGGCACCTTGGAAATCATTGGAACTTTTTTTACAAATCCAGACACCATTTGGACAACATTTCAAGGTCCAACCTCCTTAAAAATTAGGAACACTTTATAGATATGTTAGTCTCCAGTCTTTTAAAAGTAGAGTAACTTTGTTGTTGTTGTTGTTGTTATGTGGCGTGGAGTCGGTTCTGACTCATAGTGACCCTGTACAGGGTTTCTGAGGCTGTAAATCTTTATGGGAGCAGAAAGCCTCATCTTTCTCCCGCGGAACAGCTGGT